GTCAGCAGTTTGAATGCACCAGCTGCTCCTTGGAAACCTTATGGGGCAGTTCTGCTCTGTCCTATAGGGTCACTATGAGTCAGAATCGACTTGACAGCAGTGGGTTTGGGTTTTTTGTTTTGTTTTGTTTGGTATACTATATAACTAGATGGAGCTCTGGTGGCACAGTGGTTAAAAGCTACGGTGAGCTACGGCTGCTAACCAAAAAGTCCGCAGTTTGAATCCACCAGCTGCTCCTTGGAAACCCTATGGGGCAGTTCTCCTCTGTCCTATAGGGTTGCTGTGAGTCAGAATCGACTCTACAGCAGCGAGTTTGTTTTTTTTGGTTTTATATTACTAGATAATAATGGTTCAATATTTCCTGTCTAGAAACATACTGGAAGATATTTAACTTCTTGAAAAGCTGATTTTAGTGTGCTTCTAGCCACTGTCATTGGCCCTAGAACAATAAAAAAAGAAATCATATTAATAAATAAATTCAACTAGATTGGCAACAAAGAGAAGCAGTAACCCAGGAATGCCATAAAATTAGACTATAGAAGTGGAATCTAGTACCTTTAGGATGATGTATAATTGAATATGCTGCCTCTTACCCATATGTCACACGTTAAAATTTTATTTTCCAGAGAAATCTAAACTCTGCTTCCCAGTGACTCTTTCACAGACCAGCCAGACAAGCCTGTACCAATTCCCGCCCCTTCTCAGAACAGTGGTTTCAGCTTGGCCTCTCCTCCTCATCCTTCTTTCCTTCTCTTCTTCATGCTCATGTCAGCAGTAAAAAGTCTGGATAGCTTGCTGGTCTAAATGGTATAATTTGGTCTAGCAAATATGGTCTGAATCTTGGAATTGTGGATTCACGTATTTTTCTCTCATTTCATCCCCTATCAAGCTCTTCTTTTCTACTTGGTGGTAATTTCCACCAAATTGTAGGAGATTGAGAAAGTGAGCAAGGAAAAAAAAAAACCAGAGATAATGTGAGGAGAGAAATGCTGGGGTAGGATTTTTCTATGCTCAAGGATTTTGCTATGTGATGGTTGCACATGTTTTTCTCGACAGGCTCCCATTAGAAAGGAATTTATGTGTCAACTTTCTTGAGGCTTTCTATTTCCATGAATGCGTCCTCGGTAGTTCTCAATTTCTTTTCCTGCGTTTGTGATCGTATTAAAATATGTCATTTTCTGGATGATGGCTTATGTCGCTGAGCTCTAGAATATCACATGGGGAGACAACCTTGCCTTTTATCAAGTAATCCAGCAAATGCCCCTCTTTCTTTTCTGCTGCTGTGATTGAGTCTATTCCTATGTTATACTTCATTAGACCAATTCATTAAACAAAAAAAGAGTGTCCACTATGTACCAGGCCCTGTTCTGAGTGTGGGCCTACTGCAGTGGACAATCAGATGAAAATCCCTGCCCTCATGAACCTTACATTCTAGTGGGGGAAGAGAGGGAGATGCTACGCAAAGTAAATAAACTGTATACTATATTAGAAGGTAACCACTGCTATGGAGAAAAATATAGCAAAGACAGGGGCTAGGGAGTGCTAGGCGATTGTGGGGGGTGGGGTCCCATTTAAACAGAATGGTCAGGGTGAGGCCTGATTGAGAAGGTGACGTGAGCAAAGCTGGAGAAGGGATGAGGACCTGTATAGGCAGTGTGGCCATTTGTTTTCACTGACAGGGAACCTCAGCTAGACTCCCCACGGAAAAGCTCTTACAGCTGGTTATGACTATATCAAACTAATGTTAGCTATTCATGTAGCTGTTAAATGACTTTTCCTGCCATCGCTTCTCCAGCGTTTCCTTTCTGTTGACATTTTATCAGTGTCTCTGATGTTAATTCCTGTACTAAGAGCATTCAGGCTCCATCAGAGACAAAGTCCACCCCAGGCATGTTTTCATGTGCGTCACTCCAGAAATTAGTTTTGCTATTTCCTCATCTTCAGCAGAAGTTGTTGTTGTTGTGTGCTGTCAAGTCAATTCTGACTCATAGCAACCCTGTAGGACAGAGTAGAACTGCCCCATAGGGTTTCCAGGGAGCAGCTGGTGGATTTGAACTGCCAACCTTTTGGTTAACAGCCGAGCTCCTAACCACTGCATCACCAGGGCTCCTTAGAATAGTTCTATATTCTGATCTCCTTAATTATCATGAATTTATTTCTGCTGATTATGTAAGACCAGTGTCTGACACTTCAGAAACCATGATGGAGAAGGGAGACCAGGCTGTAGTCTAGATAATATTTATTGGTTTTCTAGTCAAGGAGACCAGAAACTGTGGTAGTGCCCAACCACTTTGATTAAAGGCTGTTGTATATTTTGTGTATATTCCTCATGGCATATTCAGACTGATGGAAGGCTTCCCACAGGTCACTTGTGACAGATCTGTGGTATTGTCATGATTTTAAATTAGTGTTAATGAGTAAGCTTAATTAATTTCTGAGCAGTAGAATGCTAACAAAGACTTGCTGTCACCCACTACAATAATTATCATAAAATTGGAATGAAATGTTTATTTTCAGCTTTAGAGCATAGAAAATGTCAGCTCATAAAATTTCAGTCAACATATGTCATTTGATTAAAACAAATGTTTTTTCCTTGCTATAAATCCAAAATTCTAAGGTTAAAAAATAAGTTAGTAAAATCCAATATGATGTTTTCTCTCTGCTTTTTTCAATACCCAGCATGGCTCTGATTATTTCAAAGGGTAATATGAAAAATTTCAAAAGCTCTTGCAAATCATTTCTAACTGATTTTAATTGAAGAGTTCAATATCATTTTTATAAGTCACACACTTATAATGCCTATAAGGAATGAGCCAGTGGAGTGTTAAACTTGCTTAAGACTATAAATCACCCACTTGGATCAGATAGGGCAGAAACCCTGAAACCTGAGCTTTTTGATTCACTGATTTTACTGGATGACCTTGGGCAGATCATTTAAACACTCAGCTTTGGTTTCCTTATCTTTCAGACAGAAATCCATTCCTTCCCTCTGCTGATGTCATAGGGATGTGGTTAGAGAAAAGCAGATGACGTGCCAACATTTGGAGCTCCTGGGAGATGAGCTACATTTGATCCAATCAATGAATATCGTTCTCTAGTTCTTCAGGGAGACACTATCGAAAGTCTAGCAGCTCATGCTGGCTAATTAGACATGTCACACCTACACAGTTTCACCAGCACAGTGAGTTCTGTCTGAATGTGATGTTCTCTAGAGCAGGTGCTTTTGCAGGGTCCTATCTGCTTATTAATTAGACTCCTTAATAAATTTATCTAAAAAGGATAGAGTTGGAAAATGGGTGTGTCATGTATGTAACTATCCTCAAATATGTGTAAATTGCAGAGTTTTCTTAACAACATTTGACATATTTTTCAAAAATTTGATTATTTGGTGGGGTGTAAGAAGAACTATTATTTATATTTAGAAAAGAACGTTTCCTTTAGCAGCTGTAGAATTGCTGATTTTATAAACGTGGTGTATTTTCCAACTTCAAGCACAGGTCCTGGGACAAGTTAAAGTACCATGTGTAAACAAACCTTCTGTGGGGCCGACTTCTTAAAACACAAGGTCAGGGGCAGTGGGGTGACTGAGAGAGTGAAAAACCTAAGAGTTATAGTGACATAGACACTTGAGTCTGCATTCTGACATACCTTAACTGAGCCTCAGTTTACTTATCCATAAAATGAGAGTAATAGCATTACCTCCTGCCTACCTGCATATTGAAGGTGAGCTTGGTTTTTTTTTTTTTTGGTGAAGGTTATTTGCATTGGGAATTGGAGGGCTGTGGATACCTTACCAAATATTTAGAAAGTTAGGGAGTGTATTTCAGCTCAGCCTTGGTCTACGCCGTTAGAATAGAAACCAGAAGTTCTTTAAGGTAGTAAATGGAGCTCTGTTCTGTGTTGTGACTCTCCCTCCCTTGTTCTCTCGTGGATCCTGTTTCTCCACTTTATTCCCTGTGGCCCTCTTCTAATTCTCCTTTCCTGGCATGAGTTAGATCCCACGTATTCTGAAACCTCCTCTGAATTAATTCACTTCACTGGATCACTTAAATGCCAACACATGAATACAAACTGATTTTTTTTTTTTTTAATTATAGGGACTACCGCTAGCCTTTGTGCCTGCCCCATAGAAAATATATTTTAGTACCAAATCTATAAGCTTTTAGCTTTGAAGAAAAATTCTGAACCACATGCAAAGTTTTTAATTAAAAATTCCAATTTTTGCCACCCGTACAATAGTTGGAAAAAACACTCAGTTTTAATAAGAGTCAGAAGGTAAATGTATATTCAAATATAGTCATGGCTGAAGGCATAGTTATCTACATATCTATCCCCTCAGCTGCCACTGCTTTGAAACCCAGCGAACAGCTCTTTATACAACACGCCATCTTCTAATTTGTAATTGTTGCAGAGTGAACATGTGATTATTTTAATGACTTACGAAATCAAACAACAGACTGTACTCCCTCTACGGTGATGAAGGGTGGCTAACGGTCATTTTGAGTTCACTAATGTGGAATTCTGGAGTCCTTGGTAGTCCGTGGTAGCGCAGTGGTTAAGAGCTCAGCTGCCAACCAGAAGGTCTGCAGTTGGAATCCACCAGCCGCTCCTTGGAAACCCTATGGGGCAGGTCTCCTCTGTCCAGTAGGGCCGTTATGAGTCAGAAGCGATTGGACAGCAATAGGTTTTTGGTTTTGGTGGGTAGTGCAAATGGTTAATGTGCTCAGCTGATAACCGAAAGGTTGGATGTTCAAGTCCACCCAGAGTCACCTCAAAAGAAAGTCTTAGTGATCTACTTCCAAAAAATCAGCAATTGACAACCCTTGGGAGCATAGTTCTCATATGGGGTCGCCACGAGTCAGAATCAACTCAAAGGCAACTGGTTTAACATGGAATTCTACCTGAATTCATAGCGCGATGCCTATAATGAATGAGCTAGTGACTGATTTGCACTTACAGATTATTTTATATTTTTCTGTTTTGGTTTTTCTGTCTGACAGCAGCAGCGTGCAGGGTCAAAGACAACCGGACCCCCATGTCAGTGGTCTAGGATGGCCAGTGAAGGCACCAACATCCCAAGTCCTGTGGTACGTCAGATTGACAAGCAGTTTCTGATCTGCAGTATATGCCTGGAACGGTACAAGAATCCCAAGGTTCTCCCCTGCCTGCACACTTTTTGCGAGAGGTAAGCCTTCTTTGTGTTCAGGGAAGAGAGTTTCATTGGCTGACCTTCTATAGCCTACCACAGGTTCTTTCCAGAATTCTACCTTAACTCTGAGAGACAATGGCTCTTTTGTGCTTTTGGTAGACATCTAGAAACAATCACGAGCTGCCAATTATTTTCTTTATTTCATACAAGTGGGAGAAAGTGATCAAGTAACTACTGATTCATTTCTACGGGAGATAGGGCATTAAGTATTTTAAGATTAAATTTTTTTAAAAATTTTCCCTCTGCTCATTGTGAAACACTTTTTGCCATCTGCAGTTCCCTCTATCATTTCCTTCCATATAACTAATCAGGTAAAACAGCTGCCTGTGTGAAGAGTTCGTTAAGGGGCGAAGTTCCCTTCCCATAGATACTTCAGAAGTCAGGTTTTGATTCATAGTCAACACACTAAATGGCACATTTGAACATTATCATTTCTAGATAAAGAAAAAAGCTATATACATGAAATAATTATAAATTACCTGACTGTGTAATTTGCTATATAGGAAAACACACTTCTTATTCTTCTTGAATGGTGTTTTTCCACTGGGTTAATTATCAAAGTAAACCTTTACCCCATCGTTTAACTTACCATATAAGCAATTAAACATAAAATGTTTGCTAGTAATACCATTAGTTCATCTGTGGTGTCATTTAAGTGTTTCCTTAGTAAGGTCATATATATTTTTAAAAAACAAATATGATAACTGTGTTTTATCGAATTTTGTTATGTATATTTTCTCTTGTTATTTAATACATGTAATTAAAATGCTTTACTCATATAATAGGACAGGAAACTGGTATTTCCAATGGCTTCAGATCAATGCTAATTACATTTAGCACTCAATTTAACATACATTTATTATCTGATTGAATGTTCTTTGAGTTGATTTACTTTGGAAGGTCTCAGTTGCAAAAGAATAAACACATCCTTGGTGATGGGGATGGATGGAGTAAGAAGGTAAATTGTTACTCTTGTGGTTTTTTGTCAGTTTCATTTTCTTTGTTTTGGGTTGTGGTGGTTGTGTGTGTGTGTGTGTGCATGTGTGGTTTTTATTTGTTTCTTTTAATGGTAGCACATGCTGTTATTGTGTGCTGTAGAGTTGATTCTGACTCACAGTGACCCTATATGACAGTAGAACTGCCCCATAGGGTTTCCTAGGCAGGAGTAAATTGCCAGGTCTTTTCTCCCTGGGAGCCACTGAGTGGGTTCAAACCACCAACCTTTCAGTTAGCAACTGAGTACTTAACCATTGTGCCACCAGGGCTCCTTGTGGTAGCACATAGGGCACTGATAATTTTTACTTTCTTTTGTTTTATACTTTAGCTTAAGTACTTTGTAATTCATATTGCAAAATGATTAAATGGAGAGTGATTTTTTTGCCCTGTCACTCAATAAACCAAAAACCCATTGCTGTCAAGTCTGTAAAACATGAATGCCAGCTAATTGTCCATGTGTCTCAGAGCATGCATAGAAGGATCATTGTTTGACTTGCAGCAGTTGACATGGCTTGTCACACCTTACATCCAACACTGAGAGCCACTGATTCTGAGCTCCGCAGAGCAGCCCTACTTGCCAGCGTTCAGCGCTTAGTCAGCTGTTTTTTGGCTCCCACTTCCTTGCTCTAGCAGTTGGGAAGCAAGCTTCCAGGCTGCCCAGGGTCTGCCCCCTACCCTCTCGACTGGGTCTAAGCCAACTCGCCGGCATTCCCCATCTAATAGCCAGTCGTGGAGATCTGTGAGATCCTAAAACAGCAAGTCTCTGTAAAATGCTATGTTTTAACATCTAGTGCATTGAAATTATTTCCTTTTGGAGATGCTGGCAACTTTCCTTAAAATTGGAAAATAGTCATTTTGTTTATGTAGTGACAAAACTTGAGGGCTTGTCTGACTTTCAGGAGAGTCTCACCCCCTAGGACCTCTCACCCCCAGCTCCTGCTGGCCACACACACCAGCTGCTCACTGAACTGCTTCTCACAGTCAGTCTCTTACCCCTGTATCTTCCAAAACGCCACCAATGGGACTTGGAAGGAGAGTAAAACTAGACACCGTGCCTGGCCTCTTGGAGATTGCAGCCTAGTGGAGGAGCCATTAATGACATAATTGCTCAGATTAATGTGAAATTAAACCAATGACAAGTGCTAATTACCAGAAGTGCACAGGAAACCATATAACTGGGGACTTGACTCTAATCATGAAGGCTTCCCTGCAGAAGTGATTAAGCAGCCCAAGGATGACTAAAAATTAAGCAAAGGGAGTGGCAAGAGGAAAGAACAGTAAGTGTATGCAAAGATGTTGTAGTGAGAGGGACCACGGTGCTTTGGAAGACCTTAAATAAGCCCATTGTGGCTGGCACAAGTGAATAAGGGGAAGAGACAAAATATGTAGGTGCCAGATCCTGCAGGTGCATAATCCATGTTACCATATATGGGTTCTTGTCCTGTTGTAATAGTGGAAGCTATGAAAGGATTTTCATGTCAGCTGGGGAAGGGAGGGAGGTTTAAATGGTTAGCTTCGGGTATGAGAAATCCACTTTGTGCAAAGTGGAGAAAGATTAGAGAAGTGCAAGGGTGGATGAGGATACACCAGGCACAAGTCTACTGCAGAAGTCCAAGCGAGAGTGATGTAATGGAGATGAGAGAACTGGAGATGAGGAGAACTTAGGAATTGACAGACTTTGGTTGTATATGGGAAATGAAGGAGAAAGACTGTCTCAAGAATGACTCCTAGCTGGTTGAATGAACATGGGAAATCCAGGGTGGAAAGGAGGAGTATGCTGCCACAGTATAGGTAGAGCAACTAGGGTCACATAACAATGTATGTATAAATTTTTGTATGAGAGACTAACTTGAATTGTGAACTTTCACTTAAAGCACAACAATAAAAATTTTTTAAAAAATCACTTCTAGATTCTGGTTTGCTTTGATGAGTGGGTGGGCTATCACTGAGCTAGGGAACATGGGAAGAGGACACAGTTTGGGGCAGATCGTGGGTTTGGTGCTGGACATGTTGAGTTTCAGGACCTGTGGGACATCCAAGAGGAGATGTCAGGAAGACAGTTGGGATACAGAGCCGGGGCTCAGAGGAGACATCTGTTAGAAGAAATACAAATGTGAGTGCTGTGTTTATAGTCATGCATGTGGATCTGATATCTCAGGGAGAGAAGAGGGCTTATGATAGAGCCCTGATTAACTCCAAAATGTACTACTTAGTAGAAAAGATAGAGCAGACAGGAGAACCAGATGAGTGTGGTGTCATGGAGCCTGTTGGGAGAGGCAAAGAGAAGAAATCATGTTGGTGTGACCTGGGCGTCTCATTCCTGCTTCAGCTATTTCCACTGTGATATGTTTTTTCGTATCTGCGATCTGCTTATGATTCTTTTGTAAAAAAGTTTCAATGCTAACAAAAAGTTTGACATGCTTCTTGCAGTCACCAAAGTCTACAAATCATGGGTACAATACTAGATATTCTAGACCATTAAAGTTTCTCAAACTTTAATGTGCATATAAATAGCCTGGGGATCTGATCCAGTAGGTCTAGGGTGGAGCCTGAGATTCTGCATTTCTACCATAGCTCCTGGGTGAGACCCATGCTGCTCACCCATGGACCACATGCTTGTGGCTGTAGGTAGCCTGGGTGGCGCAAACAGTTAAGTGCTTGATTAGAAGCTAAAAGGTTGGTGGTTTGAAGCCAACCAGAGGCACCTCAAAAGACAGGCCTGGCAATCTACTTCCCAAAGATCACAGCCTTGAAAACCCTATGGAGCAGTTCTACTCTGCACACATGGGGTCGCCACAAGTCAGAATCAACTCAATGGCAAGTGACAACGGAAAACATTACAGAAGTCAATGACATTATTCTTTTCCTTGAGCATAATCAGAGTTGTCTGATCAGTTTATAGGGCCAATGTGAGCACAGGTTATCTCTTGGTTTCTGAAATACCATTCTCCTAGTAAGGAGACCAGGAAGGGAGTTTCTGCAAAGTGGTACAGGTAGTCACTGAGAACATGTATAGTACCTGGGAGAAGTAGTGTCCCAGGAGCCCCCCTGTGCTGACTATCCTCTGGCCTCTGCTCCTGCCACAGGTGCCTGCAGAACTACATTCCCGCCCACAGCTTAACCCTCTCCTGCCCTGTGTGCCGCCAGACCTCCATCCTGCCCGAGAAAGGGGTGGCTGCGCTCCAGAACAACTTCTTCATCACAAACCTGATGGACGTGCTGCAGCGAACGCCAGGCAGCAACGCTGAGGACTCTTCCATCTTGGAGACGGTCACTGCTGTGGCTGCAGGAAAGCCTCTCTCCTGCCCAAACCACGATGGGAATGTAAGTAGAGTGGGCCTCAGCACCTGTCTTTAGCTTTAGGTAGGCTCTGAGCACATCAGAAGTTATACAGTAAAACAGAACCCCACCTGGAAAATGAGTAATTGAAAAAAACAATTTTTTTCAGACTATTTTGTCTGCATACTTTTTTTTTTATTGTTGTAGTTTAAATGAAGTTTACATTTCAAGTTAGTCTCCCATACAAAAATTTATACATACATTGCTATGTGACCCTAATTGCTCTCCCCTTACTGTAACAGGACACTCCTCCCTTCCACCCCTGATTCCCCACGTCCACTCTACCGGCTCCTAACCCTTTTTCTGCCTTCCCATCTCATCTCCAGACAGAAGCTGCCCGATTAGTCTCTTGTATCTACTTGAGCTAAGAGGCACATTCCTCATGAGTATCACTTTATGTCCCACTGTCCAGTCCAATCCCTGTCTGAAGAGTTGGACTTGGAAATTGTTTTAGTTCTACGCTGATAGAGAATCCACGGGCCATGCTTTCCGGGGTTCCTCCAGTCCCAGTCAGACTATTAAGTCTGGCCTTCTTACTAGAATTTGAGTTCTGCACCCCACTTTTCTCCTGTTCCATCAGGGACTGTGTTGTATTCCCTGTCAGGGTGGTCATTGGTGGTAGCCAGGCACCATCTAGTTCCTCTGGTCTCAGGCTGATGAAGTCTCTGGTTTATGTGGCCCTTTCTGTCTCTTGGGCTAATACCCCTTGTGTCTTTGGTGTTCCTCATTCTCCTTTACTCCAGGGGGTTGGGACCAATTTATGCATCTTAGATGGCCACTTGCAAGCTTTTAAGACCCCAGACGCCACTCACCGAAGTAGGATGCAGAACATTTTCTTAATAAGCTTTGTTATGCCAGTTGACCTAGATGTACCCTGAAAGCATGGTCCCCAGACCCCTACCCCTGCTACTCTGTCCCTCAAAGTGTTTGATTGTATTCAGGAAACTTGTTAGCTTTTATTTAGTCCAATTGTGCTGACTTCCCCTGGAGTGTGTACTGTCCCTCCCTTCACCCAAGATAATACCTGTCCCCACCCTCATAACCATCAAAGAAAGTTGTCTTCTGTGTTTAAACCTCTTCTCGAGTTCTTATAATAGTGGTCTTATACAATATTTGTCCTTTTGCAACTGACTAAATTCACTCAGCATAATGCCCTCCGGATTCCTCCATGTTATATTTCACAGCTTCATCATTGTTCTTTATCGTTATGTAATATTCCATTGTGTGGATATACCATAATTTGTTTATCCATTCGTCCATTGATGGGCACCTAGGTTGTTTCCATCTTTTTGCTATTGTGAACAGTGCTGCAATGAACATGAGTGTGCATATATCTATTCGTGTGATGGCTCTTATTTCTCTAGGATATATTCCAAGGAGCGATAGCTGGATCATATGGTACTTCTATTTCTAGCTTTTTAAGGAAGCACCAAATCAACTTCCAAAGTGGTTGTGCCATTTTACATTCCCACCAACAGTGTATAAGTGTTCCAGTGTCTCCACAACCTCTCCAGCATTTATTTTTTTGTGTTTTTTGGATTAGTGCTAGCCTTGTTGAGGTGAGATGGTATCTCATTGTAGTTTTGATCTACATTTCTCTAATTGCTAATGATCGTGAGCATTTCTTCATGTGTCTGTTAGCCGCCTGAATATCTTCTTTGGTGAAGTGCCTGTTCATATCCTTTGCCCATTTTTTAATTGGGGTTATTTGTCTTTTTGTCGTTGAGGTTTTGCAGTATCTTGTAGATTTTAGTGATTAGACACTGATCGGATTTGTCGTAGCCAAATTTTTTTTCCCAGTCTGTAGGTTGTCTTTTGAATCTTTTGGTGAAGTCTTTTGATGAGCATAAGTGTTCAATTTTTAGGAGCTCCCAGTTATCTAGTCTCTCTTCTGGTGCTTGTGCATTCTTACTTATGGTTCAAATTGTGTTTATGCCATGTATTAGGGTTCCTAGTGTTGTCCCTATTTTTTCTTCTAGGATCTTTATCATTTTCGATTTTAAATTTAAGTCTTTGATCCATTTTGAGTTAGTTTTTGTGCATGGTGTGAGGTATGGGTCTTGTTTTAGTTTTTTGCAGATAGATATCCAGTTATGCCAGCACCATTTATTAAAGAGACTGTTATTTCCCCGGTTAACGGACGTTGGGCCTTTGTCAAATATCAGCTGCGCATAGGTGGATAAATTTATGTCTGGATTCTCAATTCTGTCCCATTGGTCTATGTGTCTGTTGTTGTACCAGTACCAGTACCAGGCTGTTTTGACTACCATGGCAGTATAATAGTTCTAAAATCAGGTAGTGTGAGGCCTCCTACTTTGTTCTTCTTCTTGAGTAATGCTTTACTTATTCGGGGCCTCTTCCCTTTCCAAATGAAGTTGGTGATTTGTTTCTCCATCTCATTAAAAAATGCCGTTGAAATTTGGATTGGGATTGCATCATATATGTAGATCGCTTTGGGTAGAACTGACATTTTCACAATGTTGAGTCTGCCTTTCCATGAGCAAGGTATGTTTTTCCACTTATGCAGGTCTCTTTTGGTTTCTTGCAGTAGTGTCTTGTAGTTTTCGTTGTGTAGGTCTTTTATGTCTCTGGTTAGATTTATTCCTAAGTATTTGATCTTCTTGGGGGCTATTGTAAATGGTATTGATTTGGTGATTTCCTCTTCGAGGTTCTCTTTGTTGGTGTAAAGGAATCCAACTGGTTTTTGTATGTTTATCTTGTATCCTGAAACTTTGCTGAAATCTTCTATTAGTTCCAGTAGTTTTCTTGTGGATTCTGTGGGGTTTTCTGTGTATAAGATCATATCATCTGCAAATAGAGATACTTTGACTTCTTTCCTACCAGTTTGGATGCCCTTTATTTCTTTTCCTAGCCTAATTGCTCTGGCTAGGACCTCCAGCCCAATGTTGAATAAGAGTGGTGATAAAGGGCATCCTTGTCTGGTTCCCGTTCTCAAGGGGAATGCTTCAAAGTCTCTCCATTTAGGGTGCTGTTGGCTTTGTATAAATTATATCGAGGAATTTCCTTTTTTTTCCTACTTTGTTGAGCGTTTTTATTATAAATGAGTGTTGGACTTTGTCAAATGCCTTTTCTGCATCGATTGATAAGATCATGTTGTTCTTGTCTTTTGTTTTATTTATGTGATGGATTACTTGGCTGTTTTTCTAATGCCCTCCAGATTCCTCCATGTTATAAGATGTTTCATGGCTTCATCCTTACTCTTTATCGTTGTATAGTATTCCGTTGTGTGAATATACCATAATTTGTTTATCCATTCATCTGTTGATGGGCACCTAGGTTGTTTCCATCTTTTTGCTATTGTGAACAGTGCTGCAAAGAACATGGGTGTGCATGTATCTATTCGTGTGCCGGCTCTTTTTTCTCTAGCGTATATTCTAAGGAGTGGGATTGCTGGATTGTATGGTACTTCTATTTCTAGCTTTTTAAAGAAGTACCAAATTGATTTCCAAACTGGATGTACCATTTTACATTCCACAAACAGTGTATAAGTGTTCCAGGTTCTCCACAACCTCTCCAACATTTATTATTGTGTTTTTTAGATTAATGCTGGCCTTGTTGGGGTAAGACAGTATCTCATTGTAGTTTTGATTTGCATTTCTCTAATGGCTAATGATCGTGAGCATTTCCTCATGTATCTGTTAGCCGCTCCATAGGGTTTTCAGTGGCTGATTTTCTGGAAGTAGATTGGGAGGCCTTTCTTCTGAGCCACCTTTGGGTGGACTAAAACCTCCAACCTTTCAATTAGCAAAAGAGTGCATTACCCAGGGACTTTACACCACCCAGGGACTTCCAATAAATGTTAGCTATTAAAGTTATTTTTGATTAATGACTTTATTCACTTTTTTCTTTATATATTGACAACTTGAAATGTATTTGAAACTGCTTATAATAAAAAGAAGCCCTAGGTATAACAAAATCACTAAGGCCAGCAAGGGAGTGCTGGAGCAGAGTAATTATTATTAGTCACATTACTGCTTATTTACCTCATCTCCTACCATTCTCTCTGCCCACTACACTGTAGCCCACTGGCCTGCTAGATCTTGCCAAGTCCTTTCCCACCTTAGCCTGGCTGTTCTCTGTTCTTTCTGCCTAGGATACTCTTTGCTCCCTCTTGATGTGGCTAGCTTATTCTCATCCTTCATGTCTCAACTCAGATTTCTCCTTTACAGAGCAGTCTTCTTTAACTGCACTAAGGAAGGCCACCTCTTCAACCCATTACCCTCCGTCACATCACCTTCTTTATTTCCTCCATAGCACTCAGCACAGTCCATCTGCCATCATCTGCTTATTTGGTTACTTGTTGATTTTCTGGCTTTACCTCTAGAATGTGAGGACAGGGGCCTTGTTCAATATATCCCCAGCACCCAGCACACAATCTTATACGTGAAAGTCAATCAGTACATATTTGTTGAGACAGTGTGCCAGACACCATGCCTGGCTCCTTAAACACCACTTTGCAAAGCATGTGTTAGTTACCTTCATTTTACCACTGAAGAGACTGAAGCTTGGACAGTTGAAGTCACAGAGATACATCATAAAAGCTAGACCTGGAGAAAATAGCATCCTGGGCTTCCTTGTAGCCAAAACAAGAGAGAGACACCGTGGATTACATATCTTTAATTATTTAATTGAAAGCACTCCAGACTATCAATAAGAATAAGGTTTTCCACACATTGTACTACAAGGGGGAGTTACCATGTAAGTTTTGTAGAAAGAGCTTTAAATGCTCAGCTTTCAAAATCGGTTTGAGCATTCTTAGGACCATTTCTCACACTGTCTCTTACTGGATGCTGAGGCTGTTTCCTCCTGGAGCTCACATTCTAAATAGTAGTCCTGGCAAGCATTTCCATCAGTTCCCTTTAAAATATAGCCCAGCCATGTAGCTCTCTGGAGATCTAACTTGATATAGGAGAAAAGTTTTGAAAACAGTAAGAGACCTACTGTCGACACTGGTCTAAACATCT